AGAACCTTGGCCTCTGCGATGACTTGTGAACTGCATTCCATGATTCCTCCAGCTGCACTGCTGGCATTCTGACCGCTCAGGGTAAATTAGCAAAAGTCCTAAATAAAATAGCCTCAGATTTCAAAACTACGTATTAGAAATAAACTCTGGGGCAGCCGGTGGCTCAGTAGGTTAAGTGCACTAGTCTTGATTTCGGCTCAGTTCATGATGTCATGGTTTGTTAGTTCAAACCCTGTGTGGGCCTCTGCGCTGACTGCATGGAGCCTGCTTGGGATTCTCTGTCTCCCTCTCTCTCTACCCCTTTCTCCCTCTTTCTCTCTCCCTGTCTATCTCAATAAATAAACATTTAAAAAAGAAAGAAATGCCAACGGTACAATTAAAATATCCTACTTCATGGTAATTTTCTCAAGTCTTTAAATATTACCTGTGTAAATTTAGGAAAATCAGGATACAAGAATATTTCTTCATCTGAAAGTAAGAAAATAAACAGATGCTGTAGGACCTGTAGCGGTGCCTCGGTGGCTCAGTCAGTTAGGCGACTGACATTGTATGTTAGCTCATGTCATGCGTTCAAGTATCGTGTTGGACTCTGTGCTCCTAACTTGGAACCTGGAGCCTGCGCTGGATTCTGTCTTTCTCTCTCTGACCCTCCCCAACTCACACTCTGTCTCTGTCTCTCTCTCAAAAATAAATAAACTTTACAAAATACAAAAGAGAAAGAAACATGCACAGCTAATAAACATTTAGCAAAACGTAAAGGTGGAAAACCTCAATGTACTGTTATGAACACATAAAGCAAGTGTACGATGAAATTGTGGAGCCCAAGTGCCTACAGGATTAGAGAAAGAACCGCTTGCCGTGCAGGTGGCATCACGCAGTAAATACTCTCCTAAATCTTCTAAGAGAAGCGGGAAAACTGTTCTTGCCCTTTGCCCTCTACTGTCTGCGAGGGGATCTACTCAAGGTAATCAAAACCAGAAAAATACATTACCCTAAAGTGAATTAGAGTAAGAAATGTAAAAAATCAGAAAAGCACACAGGCTTCCTCTACGGCTGCCAGAAAGAGGAACAAGAAGTCTCAAAACACCTTACTAGCACCCAGGATCCCCGTGCACCCAGCCACTATCGGCATCTCCACAGGGTGCTCTGCAGCAGCAGGACTGGAAGAACCCAGCTGCCCAGGAGGGAAGAGCACAGGACACGATCCATGGGATTAAGGCTTTACTGGGGACCAGGCAGGGCTGGGGAAGGACCACCCTGGGGGAGCAAGGTCTGCTCCTGTCTTCAGGCCATGCTTCAGGGAACTCAGGCAGAGCTCTACAGGCCTGGGGACAGTGGGGGCCCCACAAAGTAGAGCAATCACTGAGGGACATGGTCTGCTTCGGCAGAGTGCAGGAAGGGTAACATCCAGGGCGGACTAGGGTGAAGCAATCGGTGGAGCTGTACAGTTTTAAAGGTCCTGGATGAACTGCATTGGGGAAGGTTAAGGGGCAGAATAAGGCTGAATGGGAGTAACGGGAAATCAAGGATAAGTAACCGGAAATGAAGCCAGACAGCTCTTCTAGGGATGCAGAGCGGTCCAGCTGCTCTCCAGGGCCCCTGCCCCAAACCATTCAGCTGCTTCCTCGCTCCATGGCCGCCCGCGGAGGCCTACTTGTTGTCCCACATGGCCATCTTTGCGTACACCGGGCGTGGGAGGAAGCGGCTGGATTTCATGTAGGCAGAGATCTTCTTCAGGCCCTGCGGGGGGACAAAGAAGGTCCACGATCACGATCTGCTGCCCCGCTGGGTCTCATGCAAGCCCGATGAGAGACACCAAGTTGGGGAATCCGCCGTGTAAGGTCCAGTGTTGTGAAATAAACGTCCTCTTACAGCCCCCAGCCCTGGTGAGCTACGCTTCCAGATTCTGGTAACTAATGGGACATCAAAGTGACATATGGAGACACGAGCCTGGGCTGGTGCTTCGTTTCCACCGGAGATGAGGACACAGGTACAGGACCTCCGCCGACCACCCACGCGAGAGGTCCCACTCTCCCCACTCAGCAGAAGGCAAGCGCACCCACAAGGGCTTCAGCGGCCTCCTCGGGCTCCCAGGGCGAGTAGGGGGAAGGGCTGCTCTCCTTCCAGGTCTGTGCTCTTTCTGTGGCCCCCCACCCCTCCCATCTGGTCCCCACCGACCCTCTCAGGAGGTCTTGTCCCTCTCTGTCTTACAGACACCCTCCTGTAGCTGAGGGAAGCTCCCGTGTTCCCAGGGTTTGCCACACAGGGAACCCAGGCAGAACGGGGGGGGTGGGGGGCAGCGCTCAGGATGAGCCCGGGCAGCTTGCAGGAGAGGACAGACCTCACCCAGTGACTCAGCAAAACCTGCATGAAAGGGGAGAGGCTGGGGAGCATGAGAGTCAGGCCAGGCTAGACTCTGATTACCCCTCTTAAAGGAGAAAGTCCAACTGCATGGCCTGGGACCTGAGCCCAATGTCATGGGCACCGACCACCTCCTCCCACTTCCTGCTGCCACCCCTGGGCATATGGCACTCAGGCATGTCTGAGCACCATCTCCCTACAACACGGAGGGATCACTGAGTTCTAAAGGGTTCAAACACCCTGGGACTGCCGGTACCGAGCAGGCCTCACACCGCAGCCCACAGCCGTCTCTGTCCCTCCAGCCAACCAGTCCCAGGAGCTCTGGCAAAATCCCCAAGGCCACTCACCAGGGCCCAGAACCAGGGCTGATAAAACCAGCTGAGAAAGCACATCTCTCCATGGGGACTGCGAAAGGGAAACGGACTGCAGACTGAAAACCCTGTTGCGCAAATGCCCCACATCCCGCAGCTCTCATAAGGCAGACTCTGTGCCCTCCAGCAAGTGACGAGGGTGATCGGTGACAGCGGGTGAGGCCCAGGCTGTGCACCCCCAGCACCCACTTGGCACCACACACGCCACACGGCCCTGTGTTCCTGTAGTTCTCCACCTGCACTGAGCCCCAGGGCGCTGGCCTCAGGACCCTTGCATCCCCCCTGTGCCTGCCAAGGTGCCTCACACACACACAGGAGATCAGGTCAGCGAATGGGACTTATAATGAACGGACCCTCCCATCTCTGACACAGAATCTTTGGTGATTGGAAAGGGGAAGGAAAGGGAGACACAGAGGTAAGGTAAGGAGAGTGCTCTGCCACAGAAGATGTGGGTTGAACTCCCTCCAGCGGCACCCCCCCCTCCCCGCTAATGTCCCCAAATCCCAGTACCGGCTACACTCCTGGGGGTCTCAGTGCTGCTCCCTGAGGGGGACAGATTGCTGCAAAGCTGCCTGGAGATGCAGAGTATGTTGTCCATGTCCCTCTTACGTGATGTCATCCCTACCCTGTCTCCATTCCACTAGTGCCAGTATACACACACTCCTACAAACCAGCTGCATCCTAGCGGCCCAGAGCGTGTATCTGGCACAGGTAAAGGACCTGAAGTATACAATCTGGTGCAGAAAGGGAGAGACACGGGAGGCTGCCTACAGAAGCCATATGCTTATTCAGGGCTCAGCACAGACTATACTGGCTCCGTGACCTACGACAAATGACTTATCCTTTCAGACTCAGTTTCCTTACCTGTTAAGAGGTGATAATTCTTCTATTGTGTACAACTATTGTAAAGATTTAATTTGACACAATGTATGTAAGATCTTGAGCACAGCTCATGATATAGCCAAACCTCCACAAATGCTACTTATTCTTTTTTTTTTTTAACTTTTTTTTTTAATGTTTTTTATTTATTTCTAGGGGAGAGAGAGACAGAGAGACAGCGTGGGCAGGGGATGGTCAGAGAGAGAGGGAGTCACAGACTCTGAAACAGGCTCCAGGCTCTGAGCTGGCAGTCAGCACAGAGCATGACGCGGGGCTCGAACCCACGAACCGGAGATCATGACCCAAGCAAAAGTCGGACGCTTAACTGACTAAGCCACCCAGGCGCCCCTACTTATTCTTTTTTTTAGATACAGGATTAGGAAAGCATCAAGAAAAAGGAGGGAAGACAAAAAAGATACAAAGAGTAAGGAGGATACGGGAATTACCTCAAAGCGGGCCATGAAGTCCTTCAGGTTGGGGAACGCGTCCAGGCACTTGGGCTCGAATATACGCAGTACATCAAGGACGTCGTAAGCCAGGAAATCCACGTAGGTGAGCTAAAGACGGGCAAAGAACAAATAAGCATCTAACCCAGAACCTGGGAGAAATGACAGCCCCCATCCCCCAAAGCCTTCCCCTTACCTTCTCCCCTGCAAACCAAGTTCTCATCCCCAGAAACTGTGAGTACAGCTTCATCTTGTCAGGGATGGACTCCAGGTACGCAGGCTTCAGTTTCTCCTGAGGCACAGAGGAGCCATCACCACCCGCAGACACAGACTCCCAGGGCGGAAGGCGGGCTCCCCCGGGGTAGTGGATGACCCCAGTCCCCCCACTGGATCTGGGCCATTGTGCAGCCTATGGATTATCTAAAATGCGTTCAGCAGACAACTCCCGGGTCTACCTCCGTCTGTGAGAGGTGATGGGAAGGCAGAGAACAACACCACACTGTCCCACTGTCACCACTTATCTCCAAGTGCCCTCCCCTGGTCCCACCCGGGGTGCTGTGAGAACCTGGCAGAACTCTGGACTCGGGCATCAGGCGGAAGCAAGGAAGCACACCATTGAAAGGCCTAGGGAAAGATATTCTACAGTCGACCTTGTGGGTGATAGATAGGAGCAGCACTTGAGCAGTTTCTGGAAAGATACAGAATTTGAGATTGAGAGGAAGGAGAGAGAAGTACAAAGCCCTGTGGCTGCCCCTAAGCAGCCTGTGGGACAAAGATGGCCAGAAGTGGGGTGTCAAGTGGGGTATCAAGGAGAAGAAACAAGCGTAAGAAGGCAAACACTGTTTTGGAACTGAATTTACACCTTGCGGACTAGACTCTATCCGAGGATTAGCAAGAACTGAGTGAGAGTTTTCATCTCATGCATTGAATTATGAAAGTATAGAGAACAGCTTGGTAGATCAGTAGCTCCTTGGAGTTCAAATGGCAAACAAGATCATGTAGATGGCACACAAAGGACCACACTCCATTCAACACCCTGTCCATCTGCCCACAGGGACATAACTCACAAAATCACGGTTGTAGCAGATTCTGGCCAAGGACATGCGGGTGTCCATAACCTCATTCTCCAAAATATCCACGCGAATCTTCTCCTCTTCTGTCTCCCCACCTACGGCCCACACAACAAAGACTCACGCTTACCATCCCACCCAGGCAGGCCCAAGGGCATGGCCACCCCGCATCCCACCCGCAGCCCCACTCACATAGGTTGTGCTTGCGGGCAATGTAGCGAAGGATGGCGTTGCTCTGGGTGATCCTGTGAGCCCCATCAATTAAGTAGGGCAGCTGCGAGGGCAACAGGGGCAGGTGGGTAGGCCATGGGCCCCCCAGCACCCCTTCTCTTGAGCAAGGACACTCACAGTGCCTGGCTCATGGTACGCACTAAATCACCATATTGTAGAACGACTGAACGAGCAGGCACATAGAACATGGGGGAGAACCCCGAAGCTGAGAGCCTGAGAAGAAGGCAGCAAACCCTGAAACCTCTGAGCTGGGAAAGCCGTTGGAGTAGACCCCCACCCCCACTCACTTGTCCCCACATCATCCCCACCTCTTGCACCTACATTGGGGAAGTCCAGGCCCAGCTTGAATTTTTCACCCAGCCACTGGCTTCTATCATAGTCCGGAGCTGTGGTGGAGAAGATGAGTGAAACAGACTCCCCAGGCCCCACCCTCCTTTGGCACCTAGGGGTGGGGGTGGGATGGGGACAAGGAGTCATTGGCAAAGCCCCCAAACAGGTGGGCCTGGGATCTGGACCACTAAGTCTCACATTCCATCTTTGGGGACAGAGAACGCTTGTAAGACTCTGGAACCTGCAGAAGCGTCTTACCAAACATGTAGGTAAGCCCTAAGGAACCCACCCAACTACGGATACAGGGGCTCCAGCACCCCCTCTCCCGTCCTGCCTTGGAAGGCCAAGCTGCACCCTCAGAGGGGTTAGGGAAGGCAGGCCCGGCTCCAGCTGGGGGAGGGTGGCAGGGGTGAGCAGCACATGGCCAGGGCACGGGTGGCTGGGTCACAAATCAGGAGGAGTTGGGCACAAGTGAGAACGCCATCGGATGCCATTACCATCCCCCATCGTGTACTTCTTTTCCTCATACGGTGAGTCTGTGTACTCCAGGAGCAGACGGATGGCGTGAGCCAGCTGGGAGAGAAACCCCAGGCAGACATCAGACATGGGAGTCCTGACACCCTGCTCCTCTCTGCTGCAGATAATCTCTCCCCCCCCCCACTCCAGGCCACCACCCGCGCACCACACACACGCACACACACACATGCACATGCACACCGCAGGCCACCACCCGCGCACCACACACACGCGCGCGCACACACACACACACACACATGCACACTTGAGAGGACTGCTAGAAAAGACTGAGCTGCAAAAAGCCCTGAAGACAAGTTCCTGTTTCAAGTGGTCGCCAGGGCGCAGCATTTCTCCCCACAAGCCCCCAATCCCTTCCGTCCCGCAACCCCGTCGCTCACCCCGCGAATGTCCCAGTAACCAAAGATCATAACCATGGTGCTGCTTTTGCGCCAACTGCAGGGGCTTCACGCCTGGACGGGGAATTTACCCTCTGACCTGGGGTGGGAGGGGCCTGAGGGGGCCGGCCCTCTCGCCCCGCCCTCCTCCGCCTGTACGCCCGCCAGACGCTCAGCCACTGCAAGCAGAGGCCGTGCGCCCGCGCCCACCCAGCCAACGGAGTGCAGGGGAGGCCGCCCCACAAAAGTCGCGGGCCTCGCGCCAGTGGCTCCAGCGAGTCCCAGGCTCCCAACGCCGTCCAGAGCTCTCACTCTGAACCTGGGAGCTGGCCTGGAGCTGAGATGAGCTGGAATCACAAAAAGAGCTCTCTCTCCTGCTTCCACCTCACCACTACGCGTCGCTCTGCTTTGCCACTCTGCTGGCTCTGGGGACTGCCAAGTGAAGACCAGAGAGCCACGTCCCTCATCCGGAGTTTACAGCAGCACCTGTCCCAGGAGGCCCAGACTCGGGCCAGTCTGAAAGCTCCTCCCAGGACACGTCTTGCACACAGACCGTCGGTGGGTGGGAACTACACCCAGGACAAGGGGAAGAGAATAGGAGACGTGATCTCAGTGTTTCCCTTCAGGGCCTTCGGAGGACCCATGCCCTCAGCCACGTGGCTGGGATTCAGGCTCAGTGGACATGAATCGACTACCCTCATGCCCGAAGTTGTGAATCTGAATCCAGAACCAGTCCCAGGAAAAGGCAGGGTTATGGGCGCAGCCACAGACACGTCCTGCCAGCCAGCTAGATGTCCCTCCGTGGACAGCACAGTCACAGGGAGGGTGCCGGTCACAGACACAACGTGAGGGAAGGGGGAGGGGGAGCCCTCTGACTGCCCAGGCACCCGTCCTGCCTCAGAGGCCAGCCAGAGGGGGTGGTCAGCCAGAGGGGGTGGTCACGCCCCACGGGACCACACTCGGGCTGGCCCTGCACACCCTGGGCTGCTAGGTCTGTGCATTCCAGCCCCGACCCTGGCTGTGACCCATGTGTGCTTTTGACTATGTCACGGTGGCCCGGGTGGCCTTGAAGTCCTTCTGTGATCTGTGACATGCGTCACAACCTCCGCAGCCACAGTATCCTAGCTGCTGACATTGCTCTTTGAAGGCAGAAGACTATGTCAGAACTAGGCGAGTAGGACAGAGCTTGGCCTGTGGCTCACTCTCCTTTGTGTAGAGGGCATTGCAGGGTTTCATGGGTAAGTGAAAACAGAAGAAGGGGACCTTATAACACAGACGGGCTACACGTGAAAGCACAGGTTGGTGCACTACAGAAAAATAAGCTTAAAATTTACACTTTTTTCATGGTTCACAGCATCACCCAGTGTTCGGTAAGGATTTCAAAGTACCAAGATCAAGTGTGGAGTGGGCAGTGAGGGGGACACAGACGCAACACCTAGTTCCTATTAAATTATAGAAGTCAGAGGTCTGCCCACCTCTGCTCACTTGAGCAGCTGGGAACGTGTTGCCCGAGGCTGGCTGGGCTCAGTCTGTCCTGCACACGCTCCCGACCATTCACAGCCTTGCCAGCAACAAGTCCTCCAGCTCTGGGTCCAGGCTCAGAAGATGACTTTGTGGTCAAGGTGAATTCCAGGTAAGTTTGTCCACAAGGAGACCATGGTGGCCAAGTGCAAACATACATTAATTCTGCCTACTAATAGTTATATTTTCAGAATACATTAAGGAGTTGGCATTTTGAGTTTTAGACACCTTCAGCCTGGAACAGCAACATTACAAGATTCCACCCAGGAAGTTATATGTGCAGGCTAAAGAGAAGCAGAATCGTAACATGTAAAATGAGGAGGACAGATACTGGTCACTGGCACTCATCCATCTGGCCAGTCCTTCTTGACAAACAACCACCGAGATGCTGTCATAGAGTAGACGCTGTGAGTGAGACCATCCTGGCTGTGAAACTGAAAGTCCCGGGGGAACTGGGAAGGGAAAGATGTTTTCAGCTATGGACAGACCCGTTTCCTGTGTAAAGACTGCGAGACGGTAAGGAGGGGAGAGGTGGAATAGAGGGGAAAGAGGCATTGCCTGGCACGAAAGGACACAGAGGAGACGGGAGATGGGTCCAGAGCATGCGTGGACGCTTCAGAAGTAAGAGGACAATTCTGCAGAAGAAGGCTGTGGAGAGCCGGCCTGGGTGGGCAGGGCGCAGAGGATCATACCAGTGGAGGCGCTGGGCTGGTGCCAGGCAATAATAGGAAACAGTGAGTAGGGATTGGGGATGCTGGAGAGTGGCCTGAAGGGAGTGAGGGTAGTCAGCTGTTCCAGGCAGAAATTCAGTCCCGGTATTGCCAGATCCTCTGGACTTACGTGTGTTCTCTCCTGATTTTAAAATGTTAACAGGTTGTAATATTTTAGAGAACACATCCAGTCCAGAACCTTGGCCTCTGCGATGACTTGTGAACTGCATTCCATGATTCCTCCAGCTGCACTGCTGGCATTCTGACCGCTCAGGGTAAATTAGCAAAAGTCCTAAATAAAATAGCCTCAGATTTCAAAACTACGTATTAGAAATAAACTCTGGGGCAGCCGGTGGCTCAGTAGGTTAAGTGCACTAGTCTTGATTTCGGCTCAGTTCATGATGTCATGGTTTGTTAGTTCAAACCCTGTGTGGGCCTCTGCGCTGACCGCATGGAGCCTGCTTGGGATTCTCTGTCTCCCTCTCTCTCTACCCCTTTCTCCCTCACTCTCTCTCCCGCTCTATCTCAATAAATAAACATTTAATTTCTACCTGAATTTTTGAAGGATAGTTTTGCCAGGTATGGGATACTTGGTTGACAGTTTTTTAAAAATACTTTGAATATATCAACTCACTACCTTCTGGTGTTAAAAGTTTCTCAGATAAATCTTCTGATAGTATTTTGGGGGATCTCTTGTGTGTAACCGGATTTTACCATGGATTTTATCCATGTCTTCATCTTTCCAGAGTTTGATTATAAATGTCTTGGTGTGAGGGTCCGAATTTATCCTAGTTGGAGTTTGAGGAGCTTCTTGGATATGTATAGTCATGTCTTTGGGAAGTTTTCAGCCATTATTTCTTTAAAAAATCTTTTCACCCTCCTGTCTCTGTCTTCTCCCCTGGGACTCCCACAGTGCATATGTTGGTCCACTCAGTGGTATCTTATAGGTCTCTTAGGTACTGTTCACTTTTCTTCTATTTTTTTCTTTCTGTTTGTCAGATTTGAATATTTCCGTTGTCGTTTCTTCAAGTTCTCTGATTGTTTATTCTTCCTGCTTCAATCTTCATTTGAATCCCTCTAGTGAATTTTTCATTTGAGTTTTCTGTTCAGCTTTAGAATTTATTTTGGTTTCTTTTTATGTTTTCTATTATCTTTGTTGATATTTCCTCTTTATTCATACATCATTTTCTTGACTTTGTCCAGGTCTTCTTTGAGCTTTTTGAGCATCTTTAAGACTGTTGATTTAGTCTTTGTCTAGGGGTGCCTGGGTGGCTCAGTTGCTTAAGCATCTGACTTCAGCTCAAGTCAGGATCTCACGGTTCGTGGGTTTGAGCCCGACGCTGGGCTATGTGCTGACAGGTCAGAGTCTGGAGCCTGCTTCAGATTCTGTGTCTTCCTCTCTCTCTGTCCCTCCCCCACTTGTGCTCTGTCTCTCTCTCAAAAATAAACATTAAAAAAAATTTTTAGGGGCGCCTGGGTGGCTTAGTCGGTTAAGCGTCCGACTTTCGCTTAGGTCATGATCTCGCGGTTCGTGGGTTCGAGCCCCACATCGGGCTCTGTGCTGACTGCCAGCTCAGAGCCTGGAGCCTGTTTCAGTCTGTGACTCTCTCTCTCTCTGACCCTCCCCTGCTCACGTTGTCTCTCTCTCTCTCTCCTAGAAATAAATAAAAAAACATTAAAAAAATTAAAAAAAAATTTTTTTTAAAACAAAAAAATAAAGTCTTTGTGTAGTAAGTTCACCATTTCATCTTTCTCAGAAATAGTTTCCTTTTTTATGCCTTGTGTTTGAAACAAAAAGACCTGGACATTTGAATCTTATAAGTAGTAACTCTGGAAATCAGATATTCCCCCTTCTCCAGGGTATTCTGGTGTGTGTGTATGTGTGTGTGTGTGTGTGTGTGTGCATGTATACGCATGTGCATGCATATGTTTTCATTGTTATATGGTGTCCCTTTGCCAGAGATCAGTCTGAGGCAGACACTGAAGGTCTGTGTGGTACCTTTCTAAATCCCTCCAGGTATGTGGCTGTTTTCGTATATCCTAGACCTCAAATGTCTGGCTTCCAAAAGGAGGAAAAGGGAAAAGTGAAAGGGGGAAACCATGGCAATGGCCCTTTAAATCTCCCAGAAGCAGCAAGGCCAGTTGGTGGGCCCAGGTAGCCAGGAAGGAAAAAGACAAGTCCCAGTAGGTGTGACTCAGCCTTTACCTGGGGATCAAACATGTCTGGAGCTGGGACCAAGCCAGCTGCTGCAGCCCAGAGACATGAAGGGCCCACTTGGCCATGAGGCCTCCACAGCAGGTTGGCACTGTCCCGTCAGGGCAATGGAGAGGGCCCTCAGAGCTAAGTATAGCAGGTGTGAGGTCTATTTGAGTTCTTCAAAGCAGAGTCAACCACAGGATTTGCCCCAGCCCCTCTCCTAAGTCAGGGACCTAGTCCTTGGACAAGGTCTCTACCCTTTGCCTCACCTCAATAACGCTGACAGCAGAAGAGAACACCCAAATGGGACCAGTGCAGAGAAATGTAATGAAGGGCAGTAGGCAGCTGAGGCCTTAAAGGACTCCTGGAATTCTTCAGGGCTCCAGGGTCAGCTCAGCCTTGGGCTGGAAGAAGCAGTTGGCTTTCTGCAGGCAAAAATTCTTCTTTACGGTCTGAGAGTGGGGACGAGGAAAAGCTTGACTCCAGATCTGGAGCCCATCAGACCACCAGCAGTGAAGGCATGGAAAGCCCAGGGAGGCCAGTGAAAGCTCTGCTCTAAGGGGTGGACAGTGACAAGACAACATCTGTAAATCAAATCTGAGCTTTTCTCCCAACCTCCTTGCAACAAAAAGGGGAAACTGAGACACACACTGAATGCTCACCTAGCTAGTGAGTGGGAAGGGCTGGCATGCAGCTCGGCTCTGTCTGCCCCCAGGTCTGTGCTCTTTCTGTGTCCTCTCCTCACTGCCCCACCCACCCACCCTTCTCCCCCAGGAGGCCTTCTCACTCACTCCATCTCCACGATGTTTTTCTATTTCAGATGGAGGCTCATAGCTCCCCAAGAGCTGCAAACACAGGTGGGGCCCTAGCAGAACAAAAGGGTTCAGACATGCCTGTGCATCTTGCAAGAGAGGCTGAATAACTTAGAAAAACCTGCATGAAGGAGGTGGACCAGCAAAGCTGGGCAGGGACAGACTCCTATTATTCCTTTAGAGGAGAGAGTGAAGGTCCTCAGCTTGGTTTGGGGGCAAATTTCCCAGGTTGCCCCTGTAGCCTGGTCTCCTAGCACTCTGAGGCAAGATGGCCCTTGGGTGCATAATGTGAACTGAGATTCAAAGACTAATA